AAGCACAGCATGGTGCGAATGTTTACTTTTATAGTCCCAAAATCTATAGCGATGACGGACGGAAGGAAGGAAGGAAGGACAGACACAGCCCGCTTATATTATAGATTATATTATAGATTGCGACAAAATGTTTTGGTCGCCATTGTTGTTTTTTCAAGGGAAACAACTATGAACCAACTCCGTCAAAAATGTAATAAAAAATTTGATTCCTTTGTCTTGATATTTTAAAGCCATGTTTCTAAACATAGAATACATAGTGAGCAAAATGTCGACTTTGTTACTGGAACTCTGGGAAATATCTTGAACAGCATTGCTGTTAGCTGTTGTCTGCTGTTGTGTGCTGTTTGCTGTTTCCTTTATCATGAACGGTTGTCACCAGCTGACTTTCAGTGGTTGTCATTTCATTGTTTCACCTATAGATGATGTCGCCTTTTTGTTTCACATATAGGTGGTGTCACCTTTTGTTTCACACATAGATGGTGTCACCATTTTGTTTCACATATAGTGTCACCATTGTTTCACATACAGATGGTGTCACCATTTTGTTTCACATACAGATGGTGTCACCATTTTGTTTCACATATAGATGGTGTCACCATTTTGTTTCCCATAAAGATGGTGTCACCATTAAGCAACACACAAAGTGTGAGAGTGAAATGTTCTAAGGCGGAGGTTTTAAGTAAATTACACTTCCGTGCCTGACGGTCCATAGGGCTGGTGAAGTAGTTCGCCTGTTTTCTTGGTCGCATGAAGAAGGTTTGCTGTGTTTAAATATTATACAAATATAAAGTTAAATGAGGTTTTAAAGTGTGTAAATATGTCCATATTTGTGTGACATAACATGCAGCTGACCTCTAGTCGACTCACAGCTGATCAGAAATCAATGAACTCATACATCTATGTGTGATAAGATGAATAAATACGGTTTTATATCAATTCTGATCTAATTTAAAAAAATTTCTAGATTTCTTTACTTTTCTATTTTAAACACACCAAAGCGTAAAGGTGTTAAATTTCGTAGCAATATCTCTTGCCATTATTACACAATTAATTTCACCAAATACTTAATTAAGAAATGTTACGGGGAAAAACACCTACAAGCATTGTTATGAAGATTTTTTTTTAAACCGGAGTTAGAACAACATGGTTACAAGGAGGCGATATTCGAGTTTGGTTTTTCTCCTTTTTACTGTGTCTATAAGCTATAAATACTAGACATGACACTATTAAATTTTATTGTTTAAATTCTATTTTAGCTCAACTTTCGTCAACTGTCAACTAAATATTATGAGTAGGTTCATGGTTGGTGTGTTGGCAAGATGGCAGCCAATAATGTCTTAGACAGCCGGAGTCCGTGAATTACTCTCTTCCGTAGTCCCAGGTCACTTCATTTAGGTCAGTAGTTCGACTCATGTTGATTAGATTTTTATTTAATTAGGAAAAATTGAAGTCGGTGATTTCAAATGGATAAGTTAACGTAATCTCTAGTTGAATCCACGATTGGGTACAGATTCTACAAACGAAATTACGTCATACATTTCAGCGATGACGTGGCACTCAACTTACTTTCACGCATTCGCAGCAACACAACAAGACATTTTTATTGCTGAAAGTTTGTTTTTATTCCCTGGAAGCAAAGACAAAAGCAAGTACTTGCAGCAGGCGTATGTTCTGTACTGCAAGGATCTAAAAATAGGAGTCTGAAGTTTAGATGCTGCATTGTATAGATCGGCACAGAATACAGCGTTTTGTACTACGGTAATAAAAATGAATATGTTCTGAGCTTTTCATCAAGGCAGTGAACTCCGTGTAATTTCAGATAAAAACGCCCCCCCCCCCCCCCAAACAAGTCTTTGTGTTCCTCCCTCCCCCTTCTCCTTGCTACGTACACAGTTTTCAATAAAACATACAACGAGTTCTATTATCTACAACAGTTCAAAGGTCAAACGATGAACGTCACTCACTAACACAAGATCATCTAACACAAGTCATCAGCTGAGTACAAAGGCGCTAATTTAAAAAATATTCATTAAAAACAATGGACGACAACTACCAATGAAACCCTACCACACTTCCGGTGTTCTGGTGTACCACGTGACGTCTAATTAGCTTTGCTGAAATAATTAGATACGAAGTTGTTGAACTTATTCAAAGCGGTTGCGATAAATAAAATATCTAACAACGACATAGCAGTATAGACGGGCCTTGTTTCGTTTTAGCAAAGAGATGGTGCTTAAACTGATGGTTGAAAAATAGCATCAAGTTCTGATTCTTGCCAAAATCTATCGCAGTTCCTACCAAATAGGTTTTTCATTGGTTATTTATGGAAGGTTTTTGTTAATCTTTTGATGTTCTTTTTTAGATGTTTTGAAGGAGTTCTTTAAGAAAATTTTGTATGAAATCTTTCTGATTTTGTTTTGTGAAATTTGAAAAAGAAATTGGAATAATTCCTAAAATTTTTACACTCCAAAAAAAGGGCGTTAAATTAAAAATGTAAATTAGAGGGTCTCTTAATTTGTGGAAATGCGAGTGACGTCACTCAGCAAAATATATTACACGAAGTGAGGCAGGGGTTCGTTGATGACGTCGTCCTTTTGTGACGGTATCAGTACATAGCATGAGTAAATGACAAATCTTCAAAGACAATAGAATCAACATTCAGATTATTGCTACATTAAATTGGCTAATTAATTAGCCGCACTGGCTATCAATTAGCCGAGATAAATTATGTTTATGGCCACAAAAACATCTGGACAGATAGACATGCAAGAATTAACAGGCGTGTGATCAAGGCCTACCCACCCACCCTGAATTGATTTCATGTTGTAACCCCCCCCCCCCCACCCACCAGCAAACCACACGATACATCACCCACATAAAACAAAATAGACCCTAAGATTCCTTACCCCCACCAAACACAATACAATAAGCTCGCTAGAGAGAGAAAAAAAAGCAAAAAACTCCTAACCTACAACTGAAAGTTATTTCCACAGTTACTTCCCTTCGCTGATCGTCATTCATGTATTCACTCCCCTTACGGGTTGCTTAGCTGTTGTACAATCATTCGTCAAAAGAACAGGAATATTTTCAAAACATAAGTGAATTGTTTTAAAGTATGAAGCATCACAAAACGTTTGAAAAAAATATCAATCACAGAAACCATCAACAGTAACGAGATGTGGTGAGACAGCATTGATGAATAATTCAAATGAGCTTTATCACTGAGCAAGCTATATTGCCAGTAATTAACTTTGATTAGTGTTATAAATAATTTGTTAATTATAACTGGTTATTTGTTTCATGAAATGTTATGTGAAACATGGTTGGTTATTTACTGAGCAGGCATGAGTCACTGGACACTGTCTAATATCAAGACTGGCTATTGGTTATTAATAAAACAATTAGCTATTTCTACCACTGGCAATTGGCTATTGTTTGGCTATAGGCTAATGTTTAATAAGCGTAACGAGTAAATTTAAAAAAAAAAGATCAGCTAAATTTAACATAGTCAATAATCAAGGATCGGAGAACTGAAATGTAAGGCAAGTCAAGTAGTAAACTAAAGTCATTCAGTCAGTCAGGTGGACAGACAGGGTTAGACTGCAGACGTGTTAACTTGACTGCAGACGTGTTAAACTTGACTGTAGACGTATTAAACTTGACAGCAGACATGTTAAACTTGACTGCAGACGTGTTAAACTTGACTGGTGTTAAACGTGACTGGTGTTAAACTTGACTGCAGACGTGTTAAACCTGACATCAGACGTAGCTACCCCAACAGTGGAGGCTGGACACCAAGGACAACTCTGCTAACCAGCTGACGTCACCCACGTGACTTGAAGCAGCAGGTCAAAGGTCAAATCAACTTTAGCACTAAAAGTAGACACAACCTGTCTGTCTGACACAACCTGTCTGTCTGACACAATCTGTCTGTCTGACACAACCTGTACGTCTGATACAACCTGTTTGTTTCGACACACCTTGTCTAGACACAATCTGTCTGTCTGTCTCATGCTACATACAGACTGTCTGAAAATGGACCATGTAAATAAGATCGTAAAAGAACAATGACCCCCAGACGATGACCTTGGCTAACATCAATTACCCAGTTAAATATCATTTTGTTCTAGCTCAAAAAATAATTCGATGTCTCAATTTAAAAAACAAAAAAAAAATAATTTTAAATGCCTTAATTTAAATTAATATCAAATTTCGTAGTCAAAAGTTCGACAACCTTACAATGAACAAAAAATATTTTAAAATTTCCTCAGTTATTTCCCTTTGTCCGATTGTTGAAATAACGTGAACCAATTCTTGTGTCGTCTTGTTCTCTCGCGTGTTTTTCCGGCGTCAAGCGAGAACTCCATCCACGACGCAAAGAAAGGGTCTGCTGTGCGACGATGTCTGTCTGTCATTCCATGACAGTCTGTCATGCTCATGACAAACGAGATAACATTTTGCAACAAAATTAAAGTATGGCACTGTCAATATCTTGCAAAACACCATCTTGCACCCAAACAGGTAACGCTGATGTATACAATGTATCGTAACGTCTGGAGCATCTAAAAATAAAGTGACCATCGTCTGCTGGCCAAGACAAATATACGTCACAAAATATCCAGATTTCTATACGGAAGCTCATATGCTACAATACTTAAACTAATCTAAAACATGAAGTAAGTTATATCCTTTAGATCAAAAGGGCTTTAGGATATTGAGCTGATAGACTGTACACAGAAAGACCCCAACGCTTCATAAATATAGGTCACGTGATGCTCAGCATCGACCGGAAGTTGACAAATCTGAGATGTTTGGTTTCACTTTCTCGAAATGACTTCCTGATGAGTGAGTTGTGAACTGTTTGTCAGAATGTGGTTCAGGGACTGAGGTGCTGACAGGAGCCGTGCATTAAGTACGTCATCGCCTCGTCTTGTATGGTTTGTACGTCATCGCCTCGTCTTGTAATAGTCTGGAGACACAGGAAGTGCCAGATGTTTTTTTTATGTTTTGTCGCTGAGGTCACGTAGTTCAATTTCGTGCATGTTGTTCTCGAATAGGCAGTTGTTCTGTTGGAGGAAACAAATGGTGAGTACAACGTCGCAAAGATGTCATCAGATGTGAATAGGGCTGGTAAGTAGGTCACCAGCCAGTTCTATGGCTCATGCAGGTTTTATTGAGCCTGAGAAGTGGTTGGTGACCTACTTACCAGCCCTATTACATCATTACCTTGTCGTCATTTAGAAGTGAACCTTTAAGCTTTTATGTATAACGAGCCGACCCGCTGCGTATTATACGCCGCTATTTAGTTGTTTTTTTTTTCTACTTTTCAGTAATTTATAATTTGTGAATTCGACAGTACCAATGCTGCCATTGAAAATATTTGCTTAAAAACACTACCCCCCCCCCCCCCCCCCACGTGAAAGCAGCCTCCTCTTAGTTACCTCCTCTAAGTTTAAAATCGTTTCAAACTAAATTATCTGCCCCTAATAGCCGTCACCAAACCCGTCTCTGTGATTGTAAAATGTAAACAGAGTGAACACCGCTCACCAGATCATGTGGGGGTGGGGTGGGGGTGGTAGTGTTAGTGATAGAGAGGAAGAGAGGGGACTGCAAAGGCGCGCTTGCAGCTTGTTTTCTAACGGCTCGAAGAAGAGAATTATATAGATAGATAGATACTATCAATGAATATTGGAAACGGAGTTTTCAGATGGTAGAGCTTATGACTGTAGTAAAGAAGCTGGTGACACTTAAACTTTACCTGAGCTAACACCTGAGACTTTACCTAACTAAGACCTGGAATTTTACCTGAACTAAGACCTGGGACTTTACCTGAACTAAGACCTGGGACTTTACCTGAACTAAGACCTGGGACTTTACCTGATCTAACACCTGGGACTTTACCTGATCTAACACCTGGGACTTGCTTGAACTAACACCTGAGATAAGACCTACCACCAAACAAATTATCTCACCTGAGATAAGACCTACCAACAAATGGTCTCACCTGAGATAAGACAAATGGTCTCATCTGGGATAAGACCTACCATTAAACAAATGGTCTCTCCTGGGATAAGACCTACCACCAAACGGTCTCACCTGAGTGTCAGACTGTATGGTGAGGTCACCACTTAATCTCACCTGAGTGTCAGACTGTATTGTGAGGTCACCACTTAACACCTGGTCTCACCTGTGTATCAGACTGTATGGTGAGGTCACCACTTAATCTCACCTGAGTGTCAGACTGTATTGTGAGGTCACCACTTAACACCTGGTCTCACCTGAGTGTCAGACTGTATGGTGAGGTCACCACTTAACACCTGGTCTCACCTGAGTGTCAGACTGTATTGTGAGGTCACCACTTAATCTCACCTGTGTATCAGACTGTATTGTGAGGTCACCACTTAACACCTGGTCTCACCTGTGTATCAGACTGTATTGTGAGGTCACCACTTAATCTCACCTGAGTGTCAGACTGTATTGTGAGGTCACCACTTAATCTCACCTGTGTATCAGACTGTATTGTGAGGTCACCACTTAATCTCACCTGAGTGTCAGACTGTATTGTGAGGTCACCACTTAATCTCACCTGTGTATCAGACTGTATTGTGAGGTCACCACTTAATCTCACCTGTGTATCAGACTGTATTGTGAGGTCACCACTTAATCTCACCTGAGTATCAGACTGTATTGTGAGGTCACCACTTAATCTCACCTGTGTATCAGACTGTATTGTGAGGTCACCACTTAATCTCACCTGTGTATCAGACTGTATTGTGAGGTCACCACTTAATCTCACCTGTGTATCAGACTGTATTGTGAGGTCACCACTTAATCTCACCTGAGTGTCAGACTGTATTGTGAGGTCACCACTTAATCTCACCTGTGTATCAGACTGTATTGTGAGGTCACCACTTAATCTCACCTGAGTGTCAGACTGTATTGTGAGGTCACCACTTAATCTCACCTGAGTGTCAGACTGTATTGTGAGGTCACCACTTAATCTCACCTGTGTATCAGACTGTATTGTGAGGTCACCACTTAATCTCACCTGTGTATCAGACTGTATTGTGAGGTCACCACTTAATCTCACCTGAGTATCAGACTGTATTGTGAGGTCACCACTTAATCTCACCTGTGTATCAGACAGTATTGTGAGGTCACCACTTAATCTCACCTGTGTATCAGACTGTATTGTGAGGTCACCACTTAATCTCACCTGTGTATCAGACTGTATTGTGAGGTCACCACTTAATTCTTTATTCATGTGCCCCACGTCCCCACTCAGCTCTTTGTTCATCCTTTTGCCCCGTAGTACACCGTTTTCTCTCTGTAATACATGACAGTCAGTTATCAGGCAGGCATCGTCTGTCATACAATATACATCAAATGTCCTTCTAGCATATTCTGTCATACAGCATACATCAAATGTCCTTCCAGCATATTCTGTCATACAGCATACATCAAATGTCCTTCCAGCATATTCTGTCATACAACATACAACAAAAGCCCTTATATCGTCGTCTGTCCAACGACTTTATTAATATTAGGCCACATAAATATGATGAGACAACCCACAATTTGACGTCACCAGATAACCCACAGTGTGACGTCATCAGATAACCCACAATGTGACGTCACCAGACAACCCCAGTGTGACGTCACCAAACAACCCCAGTGTGACGTCACCAGACAACCCACAGTGTGACGTCACCAGACAACCCCTAGCATGACGTGAGCTGGCCAGAGGTCACTGACCTCCAACTTGTCCACCTTGTGCTGAAGCCTCTTGTTCTCGTGCTCCGCGTGACGCAGCGCGCGCTTCATGACGTCAATTTTTTTCTTGGCGTCCAGCTTGACGGACAGGATGACGCCTGGGGGTGGGGATACAGGGGGTTAGTGGTGTGACGTAGATGTGGTCAATGGTGTGACGTTTGGGGTGGTCAGTGGTGTGACGTGTAGTATGGTTAGTGGTGTGATGTGTGGGGTGGTCAGTCGTGTGACGTGTAGGATGGTTAGTGGTGTGACGTAGATGTGGTCAGTGGTGTGATGTGTGGGGTGGTCAGTCGTGTGACGTGTAGGATAGTTAGTGGTGTGACGTAGATGTGGTCAGTGGTGTGACGTAGATGTGGTCAGTGGTGTGATGTGTGGGGTGGTCAGTCGTGTGACATGTAGGATAGTTAGTGGTGTGACGTAGATGTGGTCAGTGGTGTGACGTAGATGTGGTCAGTGGTGTGACGTAGATGTGGTCAGTGGTGTGACGTAGGTCTGGTCAGTGGTGTGATGTACGGGGTGGTCAGTGGTGTGACGTAGATGTGGTCAGTGGTGTGACGTAGATGTGGTCAGTGGTGTGATGTTTAGTGTTGTCAGTGGTGTGACATAGGTCTTGCTAGTTGAGAGAGGTATGTGGTGGTTAGTGTTGTGACGTATAAGTGGTTAGAGGTATGACGTAATGGAGGTTTGTGTTGTGATGTATAGTTGGGTACTTAACATATCATATCATTAATAATTTGGGGGACCTAAAAAAAATTCCATTTATAATTCGGGTGACCTTAATGACCTACCATTGATAATTCGGGTGACCTAAGGGACCTACCATTAATAATTCGGATGACCTTAATGACCTACCATTGATAATTCGGGTGACCCTCCAGAGCCGCAACAAGACCATGAGACCCGCGGCGTCCTGGGCAGCGCTGGCCACTGAGATAAAGCTGAAGACCACGTCCAGCGTGAAGGAGACGATGACCACGATGGCGTCAAACACCTGGGGGAGATATAAGATAGGAGGGTCACAGGGGTCACGGGCAGACACGGGTAGACATGGGGGTCACGGGCAGACACGGGCAGGCATGGGGGTCACGGGTAGACACGGGGGTCAGGGGCTGACAGGGGGTCACCTGCAGACAGGGGGGTCACGGGCAGACACGGGGGTCACGGGCAGACACGGGGGTCACAGGGGTCACCTGCAGACAGGGGGTCACGGGCAGACACGGGGGTCACAGGGGTCACCTGCAGACAGGGGGGTCACGGGCAGACAGGGGGGTCACGGGCAGACACGGGGGTCACAGGGGTCACCTGCAGACAGGGGGGTCACGGGCAGACAGGGGGTCACGGGGGTCAAGGGCTGACAGGGAGTCACGGGCAGACACGGCGGTCACGGGCAGACACGGGGGTCACAGGGGTCACCTGCAGACAGGGGGGTCACGGGCAGACAGGGGGGTCACGGGCAGACACGGGGGTCACAGGGGTCACCTGCAGACAAGGGGGTCACGGGCAGACAGAGGGGTCACGGGGGTAAAGGGCTGACAGGGAGTCACGGGCAGACACGGGGGTCACGGGCAGACACGGGGGTCACAGGGGTCACCTGCAGACAGGGGGGTCACGGGCAGACAGGGGGTCACGGGGGTCAAGGGCTGACAGGGAGTCACGGGCAGACACGGGGGTCACGGGCAGACACGGGGGTCACACGGTTCACGGGCAGACAGGGGGTCACGGGCAGACAGGGGGTCACGGGCAGACAGGGGGTCACGGGGGTCACGGGGGTCAAGGGCTGACAGGGTTCACGGGCAGACACGGGGGTCACGCGCAGACACGGGGATCACGGGCAGACAGGGGGTCACGGGCAGACAGCGGGTCACGGGCAGACAGGGGAGTCAGGGGCAGAAACGGGGGTCACGGGCAGAAACGGGGGTCACGGGCAGACAGGGGCAGATACGGGGGTCACAGGCAGACAGGGGAGTCGCAGGAGGCACGGGGTCGATGGCTATTGTAGATAGCGTGCAGATAGAGGCGACAAAGGCAGACGTTGAACAAATACAGACCTGAGGCAGAAACTCGGGGAATGTGGGAAAGTGTCACTTAGAATAATTAGCATATTTATCGACTTGAAGATTTGACGTCTACGTTTCTTGGTAGTGGTTCTAGACAGTGCTTTCTTTATGTGCTAGACATATGTGGCCATGTACAGCCCCACATGTGGCCATGTATAGCACCACATGTGGCCATGTACAGCACCACATGTACAGCACCACATGTGGCCATGTACAGCACCACATGTACAGCACATGTGGCCATGTACAGCACCACATGTACAGCACCACATGTGGCCATGTACAGCACCACATGTACAGCACCACATGTGGCCATGTACAGCACCACATGTCGCCATGTACAGCACATGTGGCGATGTACAGCACCACATGTGGCCATGTACAGCACCACATGTACAGCACCACATGTACAGCACCACATGTGACCATGTACAGCACCACATGTGGCCATGTACACCACCACATGTGGCCATGTACACCACCACGTGTGGCCATGTACAGCACCACATGTGGCCATGTACAGCACCACATGTACAGCACCACATGTGGCCATGTACAGCACCACATGTGGCCATGTACAGCACCACATGTGGCCATGTACAGCACCACATGTGGCCACGTACAGCACCACATGTGACCATGTACAGCACCACATGTGGCCATGTACAGCACCACATGTACAGCACCACATGTGGCCATGTACAGCACCACATGTGGCCATGTACACCACATGTGGCCATGTACACCACATGTGGCCATGTACAGCACCACATGTGGCCATGTACAGCACCACATGTGGCTATGTACAGCACCGCATGTACAGCACCACATGTGGCCATGTACAGCACCACATGTGGCGATGTACAGCACCACATGTGGCCATGTACAGCACCACATGTGGCTATGTACAGCACCGCATGTACAGCACCACATGTGGCCATGTACAGCACCACATGTGGCCATGTACAGCACCACATGTGGCCATGTACAGCACCGCATGTACAGCACCACATGTGGCTATGTGCAGCACCAAATGTGGCCATGTACAGCACCACATGTACAGCACCACATGTGGCTATGTACAGCACCGCATGTACAGCACCACATGTGGCCATGTACAGCACCACATGTGGCTATGTACAGCACCATATGTGGCCATGTACAGCACCACATGTGGCTATGTACAGCACCGCATGTACAGCACCACATGTGGCCATGTACAGCACCACATGTGGCCATGTACAGCACCACATGTGGCCATGTACAGCACCACATGTGGCCATGTACAGCACCACATGTGGCCATGCACAGCACCACATGTGGCCATGTACAGCACCACATGTGGCCATGTACAGCACCACATGTGGCCATGTACAGCACCACATGTGGCCATGTACAGCATCACATGTGGCCATGTATACCACATGTGGCCATGTACAGCACCACATGTGGCCATGTACAGCACCACGTGTGGCCATGTATACCACATGTGGCCATGTACACCACATGTGGCTATGTACAGCACCACATGTGGCCATGTACACCACATGTGGCCATGTATAGCACATGTGGCCATGTACACCACATGTGGCCATGTACACCACATGTGGCCATGTATAGCACATGTGGCCATGTACACCACCACATGTGGCCATGTACAGCACCACGTGTGGCCATGTACAGCACCACATGTGGCCATGTTCAACACATGTGGCCATGTACAGCACCACATGTGGCAATGTACAGCATCACATGTGGCCATGTATACCACATGTGGCCATGTACACCACATGTGGCCATGTACAGCACATGTAGCCATGTACAGCACCACATGTGGCCATGTACAGCACCACGTGTGGCCATGTACAGCACATGTGGCCATGTACAGCACCACATGTGGCCATGTACACCACATGTGGCCATGTATAGCACATGTGGCCATGTACAGCCCCACATGTGGCCATTTACAGGACCACATTTGGCCATGTACAGCACCACATGTGGCCATGTATAGCACCACATGTACAGCACCACATGTGGCCATGTACAGCACCACATGTGGCCATGTACAGCACCACATGTGGCCATGTACAGCACCATATGTGGCCATGTACAGCACCACATGTACAGCACCACGTGTGGCCATGTACAGCACCACATGTGGCCATGTACAGCACCGCATGTACAGCACCACATGTGGCCATGTACAGCACCACATGTGGCCATGTACAGCACCACATGTACAGCACCACATGTGGCCATGTACAGCACCACATGTGGCCATGTACAGCACCACATGTACAGCACCACATGTACAGCACCACATGTGGCCATGTACAGCACCACATGTACAGCACCACATCTACAGCACCACATGTGGCCATGTACAGCACCACATGTGGCCATGTACAGCACCACATGTGGCCATGTACAGCACCAGTTGTGGCCATGTACAGCACCACATGTGGCCATGTACAGCACCACATGTGGCCATCTACAGCACCATATGTGGTCATGTACAGCACCACATGTGGCCATGTACAGCACCACATGTGGCCATGTACAGCACCACATGTGGCCATGTACAGCACCACATGTGGCCATGTACAGCACCACATGTGGCCATGTACAGCACCACATGTGGCCATGTACAGCACCACATGTGGCCATGTACAGCACCACATGTGGCCATGTACAGCACCATATGTGGCCATCTACAGCACCATATGTGGCCATGTACAGCACCACATGTGGCCATGTACAGCACCACATGTGGCCATGTACAGCACCACATGTGGCCATGTACAGCACCACATGTGGCCATGTACAGCACCACATGTGGCCATGTACAGCACCACATGTACAGCACCACATGTGGCCATGTACAGCACCACATGTGGCCATGTACAGCACCACATGTGGCCATGTACAGCACCACATGTGGCCATGTACAGCACCACATGTACAGCACCACATGTACAGCACCACATGTACAGCACCACATGTGGCCATGTACAGCACCACATGTACTGGCCTGATGTAGCACCGCCCACGTCCTATGTGGCACTCGGCCTACATCAACCAGAGACCAGAACAAACATGGCCGACACGGCCAACATCGATGACAGTCACTTTTATGTCGGCCCGAGGATGAAACATGTTTGCTCGCCCCGAGTGGTGGTGGGGGGAGGGGGTGAATGGACGGCTGGGCTTTTGATCAGCTTTTTGCCCGTCCGGCAGATGGCTAGCTCACATGGTAGCTGTGTTATATAAGTCTTGTGTCATGTGGCAGCTGTCTTGTGTCATGTGGCAGCTGTCTTGTGTCATGTGTCAGATGTCTTGTGTCATGTGTCAGCTGTCTTGTGTCGTGTGTCAGCTGTCTTTTGCCATGTGGCAGATGTCTTGTGTCAGTCTTTTGTCATGTGTCAGTTGCTGTCTTGTGTCATGTGGTAGCTGTCTTGTGTCATGTGTCAGCTGTCTTGTGTCATGTGTCAGCTGTTTTGTGTCATGTGGCAGATGTCTTGTGTCATGTGGCAGCTGTCTTGTGTCATGTGGCAGCTGTGTTGTGTCATGTGGCAGCTGTCTTGTGTCATTTGGCAGCTGTCTTTTGTCAAGTGGCAGCTGTCATGAGGCAGCTGTCTTGTGTCATGTGGCAGCTGTCTTGTGTCATGTGGCAGTTGTCTTGTGTCATTTGGCAGCTGTCTTTTGTCAAGTGGCAGCTGTCATGTGTCAGCTGTCTTGTGTCTTGTGTCAGCTTTCTTGTGTCACGTGTTAGTTGTCTTGTTTCATGTGTCAGCTGTCTTGTGTCATGTGGCAGCTGTCTTGTGTCATGTAGCAGCTGTCTTGTGTCTTGTGGCAGTTGTCTTAAGTCATGTGACACAACAATAACAAACGGACAACATTAAATATCCGGACAACAAACGGACAACATTAAATATCCGAACAACGTTAAATGTCCAGCTCAAGGACAGCAACTCCACACCAAAACGCTGACGGCTAAATGTAACATTAGAGCCTCAATGACGTCATTTGATGCGGTGGTCACTACTAGTAGTGGACATTAGAACAAGATGGCGGCTCTTTGGATCATTTACAACTGTGGACACACCTATTATCCACTGCATCCTTACACAAATCCACTACAACACACTTTAACCCGCGGCAACCCGCTACAACCCTCTACAACCCAGTACACATTCCAAAGATCCATTCAAAACGACAGCCCGACCTGTCAGTTATTCTGACTTTCGATAGACAGACCTGAAGACAATTTGACAGACAACTTGATAGGCAGACATCTTCTGTGATACAATTTGAACCTTTGACAGACAATCTTCTGGTAGACAGACACAGCTGTCTGATATCGTAAGTCATCACCTCACCACAGTGACGTGAGACTTCAGCGAGATGTACTTTTTTTGGGCAAGTGACCACAGTCGTGGGCCTCCTCATCACATGACCCCACAAAACTTGAATCCTCTCCTCAGGTTACCCCCACCCCCCAAAAAAATGTGCCTCTCTTCGGAAGAGCTCATAAAAAATTCAAAGCAAATGATCTGTAATAGGTATGCTGCCTTAAAATGCGCCTACAATTTAGCATCCTCTCAACAAACGATCATAGAAATGAACACCTCCTCAACAGACGACCCCAGAAATGTACACCCCCTTAACACACGACCCCAGAAATGTACACCCCCTCAACAGACGACCCCAGAAATGTACACCCCCTCAACAGACGACCCAAGAAATGAACACCCCCTTAACACACGACCCCAGAAATGAACACCCCCCACCCCTCAACTAATGATACGTTGCAAGAATTTTCGCCATGACCGGAGTGGGGGGACTGTGTGAGACTTGACCTACATTTGTTATCAGAACTTGTATGCAGCCGCTTGAAGAAATCGATTTCAGCGGCAAATCGATCGTAAATCTTGGAGCAGGAGAGATGATAACTAGTGTGCTCACGCTGGCTGTGATTCACATACACATACAGGCACGCGCGCTCTGTTATCATATGGTCATGACTCACGATCACATACACATAAGATATGGGTGTATATTCACAGACATACAGATATACATCAGCACATAGGCAAATACAAATAAAATCTACAGACATATCTACAGAGAAGTAAACTTACATAAATAAAGCTTTTATAAATATGTAAATACATACAGACATATATACACACATTTAGTCGACGTGTGACATACATATTTTGGTAATGCCCTGATGCTATATAAAATAATATTAACTAATTCATATGTATATATGTATTTGTGTGTAAAGGTATTTCGCAATGTTGACTGTGTTCTCGTGATACGCAGCAAGCAAACAGCTGATCTTGGCTTGCATTAAAGCGGCTGTAGGATCAGATAGGCAAGTCCGGAGCTTCTAATCATGATGGATGTCTTTTCTCATGTGAGAGCCACTGGTTAATGGGCTGCATAGTGGGGTGGGGTGGGGTACTGTGGTGAGGTAGTGTGGTGAGGTAGTGTGGTGAGGTAGTGGAGTGAGGTAGTGTGGTGAGGTAGTGTGGTGAGGTAGTGGAGTGGGTTAGTGTGGTGAGGTAGTGTGGTGAGGTAGTGTGGTGAGGTAGTGGAGTGGGTTAGTGTGGTGAGGTAGTGTGGTGAGGTAGTGTGGTGAGGTAGGGTGTTGAAATAAACTTAACCCCAGGAAACTAGCAGTGCCGATTTGTTATGTTACCTACTTTATACCGTAGTGTCACCAACAATGTTAGACGGTGTCTGATTACCACACACTGAGGTATTTATCGTAATTAAAATGAAACAAAAACATTACAACTCCAACACCTGATCCCCACCACCTGACCCCCAACACCTGACCCCAACACCTGACCCCAACACCTGACCCCAACACCTGACCCCAACACCTTACCCTAACACCTGACCCACCTGACCCACCTGACCCAACACCTGACCCCCAACACCTGACCCCAACACCTGACCCACCTGACCCCAACACCTGACCCACCTGACCCCAACACCTGACCACAACACCTGACCCCAACACCTGACCCCAACACCTGACCCCAACACCTGACCCCAACACCTGACCCCAACATCTGACCCTAACACCTGACCCTAACACCTGACCCCAACACCTGACCCCAACACCTGACCCCAACACCTGACCCCAACACCTGACCCCAACACCTGACCCTAACACCTGACCCCAACACCTGACCCCAACGCCTGACCCCAACACCTGACCTCAACACCTGACCCTAACACCTGACCCCAACACCTGACCCCAACACCTGACCCCAACACCTTACCCTAACACCTGACCCCAACACCTGACCCCAACACCTGACCCTAACACCTGACCCTAACACCTGACCCTAACACCTGACCCCAACACCTGACCCTAACACCTGACCCCCAACACCTGACCCCAACACCTTACCCTAACACCTGACCACAACACCTGACCCACAACACCTGACCCCAACACCTGACCCCAACACCTTACCCTAACACCTGACCCCAACACCTTACCCTAACATCTGACCCACCTGACCCCAACACCTGACCCCAACACCTGACCCCAACACCTGACCCCAACACCTGACCCCAACACCTGACCCCAACACCTGACCCCAACACCTGACCCCCCACCACCTGACCCCAACACCTGACCCCAACACCTGACCCCAACACCTGACCCCAACACCTGAGAGACTGACAGACAGTTCTCACCTCGGCAGGTTGCTTCAGCAGGTGTTTGCCTTCTATAAAAACTTTGAGTGAAACCTGCAAGCAGAAAGGTGAGACTAGAGTGAGACTAGAGTGAGACTAGAGTGAGACTAGACTGAGACTAGAGTGAGGCTAGAGTGAGGCTAGAGTGGGACTAGAGTGAGACTAGAGTGAGATTTGATCTAGATTTGCTGTAAAGATTGCTAATCCTAGTGACCAGATGGTCAAGTTATCTTAAGGAGCTTAATCTGTTTAAACATGCTTAATCTCAGAGCTAGCCAGTCAAGAAAGATTTGGTGATAAATTGACGGATAAATCTGAGTTGATACTTCAGCAAATACAAGAATTAATCCACTGACAAAGTAGACACTATGGACATTTTCGAGAATGTGGACATTTGTGGACAACATGGACATTTGTGGACAATGTGGACATTTGTGAACAGAGTTTCTTCCAGGCATCTCTTCAAAGCCCCCCCCCCCGAAAAATTTTTACCGCCCCCCCCCCCCCCCCGAACGAAATGAAATTTATATAATTTATATAGAAAATATATACTTTTAACAGTGTCCGCCCTCCCGAAGAAAGTTTACCGCCCCCCCCCCCCGAACGAAATGAAATTTATATAATTTATATAGAAAATATATACTTTTAACAGTGTCCCCCCCCCCCCGAAGAAAGTTTACCGCCCCCCCCCCACCCCCGAAAATTTCAAGTGCCCCCCCCCCCCCGGGAGAAAAAAGTCTGGAAGAAACACTGTTTGTGAACATAAGTGGACATTTGTGGAAAATGTGGACATTTTTGGACATTGGTGGACAAAGCGGACAAAGTGGACAAAGTGGACAATATAAACATTTGTGGACATTTGTGGACATATGTGGATATTTGTGGACATTTCTGGACATTTGTGGACAATGTGGACATTTGAGGACACTGTGGACATATTGTACTGTACTCACCTCTATCATGAAGAGAGACAAGATGGCCAGACTCAGTGCGTGGAGGACGTGTTCAGCCTTCTCCTTGTTGGTGTGGTGGTGGGGTGTGGCGTGGCCATCTGAAATGTTATGGGTACTGGGGGTGGGGGTGGGGGTGTGGGGAACATTAAGTGGTTGGTGTGGTGGTGTGGTGTGGCGTGGCCATCTGAAATGTTGTGGGTACTGGGGGTGGGGTGGGGGAACATTAAGTGGTTGGTGTGGTGGTGTGGTGTGGCGTGGCCATCTGAAATGTTATGGGTACTGGGGTGGGGGGTGGGGAACATTAAGTGGTTGGTGTGGTGGTGTGGTGTGGCGTGGCCATCTGAAATGTTATGGGTACTGGGGGTGGGGGTGTGGGGAACATTAAGTGGTTGGTGTGGTGGTGTGGTGTGGCGTGGCCATCTGAAATGTTATGGGTACTGGGGGTGGGGGTGGGGGTGTGGGGAACATTAAGTGGTTGGTGTGGTGGTGTGGTGTGGCGTGGCCATCTGAAATGTTATGGGTACTGGGGGTGGGGGTGGGGGTGTGGGGAACATTAAGTGGTTGGTGTGGTGGTGTGGCGTGGCCATCTGAAATATTATGGGTACTGGGGGTGGGGTGTGGGGAACATTAAGTGGTTGGTGTGGTGGTGTGGTGTGGCCATCTGAAATGTTGTGGGTACTGGGGGTGTGGGGAACATTAAGTGGTTGGTGTGGTGGTGTGGTGTGGCGTAGCCATCTGAAATGTTATGGGTACTGGGGGTGAGGGTGGGGGATCATTAAGTGGTTGGTGTGGTGGGGTATTGTCAAACATGACCTATTTGTTGTCTAACATGACTTACCTGTTGTCTAACATGACCTACCTGTCCAACATGACTTACCTGTTGTCTAACATGACTTACCTGTTGTCTAACATGACCTACCTGTCCAACATGACTTACCTGTTGTCTAACATGACTTACCTGTTGTCTAACATGACCTACCTAACATGACCTACCTGTCCAACATGACCTACCTGTCCAACATGCCCTACCTAACATGACCTACCTGTCCAACATGCCCTGTCTAACCTGACCTACCTGTTGTCTAACATGACCTGTCTAACCTGACCTACCTGTTGTCTAACATGACCTACCTGTCCAACATGACCTACCTAACTTGACCTACCTGTTGTCTAACATGACCTACCTGTTGTCTCACATGACCTACCTAACTTGACCTACCTGTTGTCAAACATGGCCTACCTGTTCGACATGACCTACCTAACATGACCTACCTGTTGTAAGATTCTAGACTGGAGTTCCAGACTACCAGTTTGTGATCATCTGTGTGTCCATGCGCATGTTCGTCAGTGTGTCCATGCGTGACGTTGTGTGACGTCGAATTATCTGGCTCGTGACTCGCTTCTGGAACTGTTCGTTAAATTAATTAATTAGTCATTAAGATGGGGTCTTAGGGTCAGGGTAGGTGTTTCAATCTTGCGTTTGGATTGGTGTGATGTTGTAAATTATGCACAGGCTACAGTTTCGGTGTTCATACATTTAGAATGTTTTCATACATTAAGACTTCCTACTTTAAGACTTCCTACTTTAAGACTTCATACTTTTAGAAAAAAGCAAATTCCTCCTACACTTCAAAATGTTTCAAAACTTTATTTTTTTGAATGACATTTCTAAAATCGTTGAAAAATGTGAGACGTATTTAACGTGTCTTTGTTTAAATACAGTAGTGCAAACAACTAGATCTGTCTCCATAGGATGTGGAACACTAAGGCAGTCAACAAAAATGGTGGAAAAAATGTCGGACTATGTCACGTGATGATTTCAGAAAATGTTTCATGGTCTAAAAGTTTCACGAAAATAATCCAATTTTTAATTAAAGCCTTTCAGAGCTAATTAATGAGAGCAGAGTTTAGACCGTTAATGAGATCATTCTTTAGACTGTTGAACTCCTCAAGTTTCAAATGTGACATGACTGGTATTCCCTTGTGTGTGAAATATGCAACCAGCGTCTCCGTTAATTAGTTAAGTGAATTGCTTAATTAAGGTAAATTAATTTTAAATTCCACGATGATGGATCATAGATCAAATTTTTGTGTAAAAATTGAGAAGAAAGTTGGGAGGCAGACAAAAAGAAATTTCACGATTTAGCAGACTTTAGGCAGACACAGACAAAAGTTAAGCGTGGACAGACAAATGTTGAGCGTGGACAGACAAACGTTGAGCGTGGACAGACAAAAGTTGAGATTGGACAGATAAAAGTTGAGATTGGACAGACAAAAGTTGAGCGTGGACACAGACAAAAGTTGAGCGTGGACGGACAAAAGTTGAGTTAGACAGACAAAAGTTGAGCGTGAACAGACAAAAGTTGAGCGTGGGCAGACAAAAGTTGAGCGTGGACACAGACAAAAGTTGAGCGTGGACAGACAAAAGTTGAGTTAGACAGACAAAAGTTGAGCGTGGACAGACAAAAGTTGAGCGTGGACACAGACAAAAGTTAAGCGTGGACAGACAAAAGTTGAGTTAGACAGACAAAAGTTGAGCGTGGACAGACACAGACAAAAGCGTGGACAGACAAAAGTTGAGCGTGGACAGACAAAAGTTGAGCGTGGACACAGACAAAAGTTGAGCGTGGACAGACAAAAGTTGAGCGTGGACAGACAAAAGTTGAGCGTGGACAGACAAAAGTTAAGCGTGGACAGACAAAAGTTGAGCGTGGACAGACAAAAGTTGAGCGTGGACAGACAAAAGCTGAGCGTGGACAGACAAAAGTTGAGCGTGGACAGACAAAAGTTGAGCGTGGACACAGACAAAAGTTGAGCGTGGACAGACAAAAGTTGAGTTAGACAGACAAAAGTTGAGCGTGGACAGACAAAAGTTGAGCGTGGACACAGACAAAAGTTGAGCGTGGACAGACAAAAGTTGAGCGAGGACAGACAAAAGTTGAGCGAGGACAGACAAAAGTTGAGCGTGGACAGACAAAAGTTGAGCGTGGACACAGACAAAAGTTGAGCGAGGACAGACAAAAGTTGAGTTAGACAAACAAAAGTTGAGCGTAACAGACAAAAGTTGAGCGTGGACAGACAAAAGTTGAGCGTGGACAGACGAAAGTTGAGCGAGGACAGACAAAAGTTGAGCGAAAACAGACAAAAGTTGAGCGAGGACAGACAAAAGTTGAGCGAGGACAGACAAAAGTTGAGCGAGGACAGACTAAAAGTTGAGCGTAGACAGACAAAAGTTGAGCGAGGACAGACAAAAGTTGAGCGAGGACAGACAAAAGTTGAGCGAGGACAGACAAAAGTTGAGCGAGGACAGACTAAAAGTTGAGCGTAGACAGACAAAAGTTGAGCGAGGACAGACAAAAGTTGAGCGAGGACAGACAAAAGTTGAGCGTGGACAGACAAAAGTTGAGCGTGGACAGACAAAAGTTGAGCGAGGACAGACAAAAGTTGAGCGTGGACAGACAAATGTTGAGCGTAGACAGACAAAAGTTGAGCGAGGACAGACAAAAGTTGAGCGAGGACAGACAAAAGTTGAGCGAGGACAGACAAAAGTTGAGCGAGGACAGACTAAAAGTTGAGCGTAGACAGACAAAAGTTGAGCGAGGACAGACAAAAGTTGAGCGAGGACAGACAAAAGTTGAGCGTGGACAGACAAAAGTTGAGCGTGGACAGACAAAAGCTGAGCGAGGACAGACAAAAGTTGAGCGTGGACAGACAAATGTTGAGCGTAGACAGACAAAAGTTGAGCGAGGACAGACAAAAGTTGAGCGAGGACAGACAAAAGTTGAGCGAGGACAGACAAAAGTTGAGCGAGGACAGACTAAAAGTTGAGCGTAGACAGACAAAAGTTGAGCGAGGACAGACAAAAGTTGAGCGAGGACAGACAAAAGTTGAGCGTGGACAGACAAAAGTTGAGCGTGGACAGACAAAAGTTGAGCGAGGACAGACAAAAGTTGAGCGAGGACAGACACAGACAAAAGCGTGGACAGACAAAAATTGAGCGGTGACAGACAAAAGCTGAGCGTGGACAAACAAAAGTTGAGCGAGGACAGACAAAAGTTGAGCGTGGACAGACACAGACAAAAGTTGAGCATGGACAGACAAAAGTTGAGCGTGGACACAAACGTTGAGAGTGGACAGACAAATGTTGAGCGTGGACAGACAAAAGTTGAGCTAGACAGACAAAAGTTGAGCGAGGACAGACAAAAGTTGAGCGAGGACAGACAAAAGTTGAGCGTGTACAGACAAAAGTTGAGCGTGGACAGACAAAAGTTGAGCGAGGACAGACACAGACAAAAGTTGAGCGTAGACAGACAAAAGTTGAGCGTGGACAGACAAAAGTTGAGCGAGGACAGACAAAAGTTGAGCGAGGACAGACACAGACAAAAGTTGAGCGTAGACAGACAAAAGTTGAGCGAGGACAGACAAAAGTTGGGCGAGGACAGACAAAAGTTGAGCGGTGACAGACAAAAGTTGAGCGAGGACAGACAAAAGTTGAGCGAGGACAGACAAAAGTTGCGTGTGGACAGACAACAGCTGAGCGTGGACAGACAAAAGTTGAGCGTGGACAGACAAAAGTTGAGCGAGGACAGACAAAAGTTGAGCGAGGACAGACAAAAGTTGAGCGAGGACAGACAAAAGTTGAGCGAGGACAGACAAAAGTTGAGCGAGGACAGACAAAAGTTGAGCGAGGACAGACAAAAGTTGAGCGAGGACAGACAAAAGTTGAGCGAGGACAGACAAAAGTTGAGCGAGGACAGACAAAAGTTGAGCGAGGACAGACAAAAGTTGAGCGTGGACAGACAAAAGTTGAGCGAGGACAGACAAAAGTTGAGCGAGGACAGACTAAAAGTTGAGCGTAGACAGACAAAAGTTGAGCGAGGACAGACAAAAGTTGAGCGAGGACAGACAAAAGTTGAGCGTGGACAGACAAAAGTTGAGCGTGGACAGACAAAAGTTGAGCGAGGACAGACAAAAGTTGAGCGTGGACAGACAAATGTTGAGCGTAGACAGACAAAAGCTGAGCGAGGACAGACAAAAGTTGAGCGTGGACAGACAAAAGCTGAGCGTGGACAGACAAAAGTTGAGCGTGGACAGACAAAAGTTGAGCGTGGACACAGACAAAAGTTGAGCGTGGACAGACAAAAGTTGAGTTAGACAGACAAAAGTTGAGCGTGGACAGACAAAAGTTGAGCGTGGACACAGACAAAAGTTGAGCGTGGACAGACAAAAGTTGAGCGAGGACAGACAAAAGTTGAGCGAGGACAGACAAAAGTTGAGCGAGGACAGACAAAAGTTGAGCGAGGACAGACTAAAAGTTGAGCGTAGACAGACAAAAGTTGAGCGAGGACAGACAAAAGTTGAGCGAGGACAGACAAAAGTTGAGCGAGGACAGACAAAAGTTGAGCGAGGACAGACTAAAAGTTGAGCGTAGACAGACAAAAGTTGAGCGAGGACAGACAAAAGTTGAGCGAGGACAGACAAAAGTTGAGCGTGGACAGACAAAAGTTGAGCGTGGACAGACAAAAGTTGAGCGAGGACAGACAAAAGTTGAGCGTGGACAGACAAATGTTGAGCGTAGACAGACAAAAGTTGAGCGAGGACAGACAAAAGTTGAGCGAGGACAGACAAAAGTTGAGCGAGGACAGACAAAAGTTGAGCGAGGACAGACTAAAAGTTGAGCGCAGACAGACAAAAGTTGAGCGAGGACAGACAAAAGTTGAGCGAGGACAGACAAAAGTTGAGCGTGGACAGACAAAAGTTGAGCGTGGACAGACAAAAGCTGAGCGAGGACAGACAAAAGTTGAGCGTGGACAGACAAATGTTGAGCGTAGACAGACAAAAGTTGAGCGAGGACAGACAAAAGTTGAGCGAGGACAGACAAAAGTTGAGCGAGGACAGACAAAAGTTGAGCGAGGACAGACTAAAAGTTGAGCGTAGACAGACAAAAGTTGAGCGAGGACAGACAAAAGTTGAGCGAGGACAGACAAAAGTTGAGCGTGGACAGACAAAAGTTGAGCGTGGACAGACAAAAGTTGAGCGAGGACAGACAAAAGTTGAGCGAGGACAGACACAGACAAAAGCGTGGACAGACAAAAATTGAGCGGTGACAGACAAAAGCTGAGCGTGGACAAACAAAAGTTGAGCGAGGACAGACAAAAGTTGAGCGTGGACAGACACAGACAAAAGTTGAGCATGGACAGACAAAAGTTGAGCGTGGACACAAACGTTGAGAGTGGACAGACAAATGTTGAGCGTGGACAGACAAAAGTTGAGCTAGACAGACAAAAGTTGAGCGAGGACAGACAAAAGTTGAGCGAGGACAGACAAAAGTTGAGCGTGTACAGACAAAAGTTGAGCGTGGACAGACAAAAGTTGAGCGAGGACAGACACAGACAAAAGTTGAGCGTAGACAGACAAAAGTTGAGCGTGGACAGACAAAAGTTGAGCGAGGACAGACAAAAGTTGAGCGAGGACAGACACAGACAAAAGTTGAGCGTAGACAGACAAAAGTTGAGCGAGGACAGACAAAAGTTGGGCGAGGACAGACAAAAGTTGAGCGGTGACAGACAAAAGTTGAGCGAGGACAGACAAAAGTTGAGCGAGGACAGACAAAAGTTGCGTGTGGACAGACAACAGCTGAGCGTGGACAGACAAAAGTTGAGCGTGGACAGACAAAAGTTGAGCGAGGACAGACAAAAGTTGAGCGAGGACAGACAAAAGTTGAGCGAGGACAGACAAAAGTTGAGCGAGGACAGACAAAAGTTGAGCGAGGACAGACAAAAGTTGAGCGAGGACAGACAAAAGTTGAGCGAGGACAGACAAAAGTTGAGCGAGGACAGACAAAAGTTGAGCGAGGACAGACAAAAGTTGAGCGAGGACAGACAAAAGTTGAGCGTGGACAGACAAAAGTTGAGCGAGGACAGACAAAAGTTGAGCGAGGACAGACTAAAAGTTGAGCGTAGACAGACAAAAGTTGAGCGAGGACAGACAAAAGTTGAGCGAGGACAGACAAAAGTTGAGCGTGGACAGACAAAAGTTGAGCGTGGACAGACAAAAGTTGAGCGAGGACAGACAAAAGTTGAGCGTGGACAGACAAATGTTGAGCGTAGACAGACAAAAGCTGAGCGAGGACAGACAAAAGTTGAGCGTGGACAGACAAAAGCTGAGCGTGGACAGACAAAAGTTGAGCGTGGACAGACAAAAGTTGAGCGTGGACACAGACAAAAGTTGAGCGTGGACAGACAAAAGTTGAGTTAGACAGACAAAAGTTGAGCGTGGACAGACAAAAGTTGAGCGTGGACACAGACAAAAGTTGAGCGTGGACAGACAAAAGTTGAGCGAGGACAGACAAAAGTTGAGCGAGGACAGACAAAAGTTGAGCGTGGACAGACAAAAGTTGAGCGTGGACACAGACAAAAGTTGAGCGAGGACAGACAAAAGTTGAGTTAGACAAACAAAAGTTGAGCGTAACAGACAAAAGTTGAGCGTGGACAGACAAAAGTTGAGCGTGGACAGACGAAAGTTGAGCGAGGACAGACAAAAGTTGAGCGAAAACAGACAAAAGTTGAGCGAGGACAGACAAAAGTTGAGCGAGGACAGACAAAAGTTGAGCGAGGACAGACTAAAAGTTGAGCGTAGACAGACAAAAGTTGAGCGAGGACAGACAAAAGTTGAGCGAGGACAGACAAAAGTTGAGCGAGGACAGACAAAAGTTGAGCGAGGACAGACTAAAAGTTGAGCGTAGACAGACAAAAGTTGAGCGAGGACAGACAAAAGTTGAGCGAGGACAGACAAAAGTTGAGCGTGGACAGACAAAAGTTGAGCGTGGACAGACAAAAGTTGAGCGAGGACAGACAAAAGTTGAGCGTGGACAGACAAATGTTGAGCGTAGACAGACAAAAGTTGAGCGAGGACAGACAAAAGTTGAGCGAGGACAGACAAAAGTTGAGCGAGGACAGACAAAAGTTGAGCGAGGACAGACTAAAAGTTGAGCGCAGACAGACAAAAGTTGAGCGAGGACAGACAAAAGTTGAGCGAGGACAGACAAAAGTTGAGCGTGGACAGACAAAAGTTGAGCGTGGACAGACAAAAGCTGAGCGAGGACAGACAAAAGTTGAGCGTGGACAGACAAATGTTGAGCGTAGACAGACAAAAGTTGAGCGAGGACAGACAAAAGTTGAGCGAGGACAGACAAAAGTTGAGCGAGGACAGACAAAAGTTGAGCGAGGACAGACTAAAAGTTGAGCGTAGACAGACAAAAGTTGAGCGAGGACAGACAAAAGTTGAGCGAGGACAGACAAAAGTTGAGCGTGGACAGACAAAAGTTGAGCGTGGACAGACAAAAGTTGAGCGAGGACAGACAAAAGTTGAGCGAGGACAGACACAGACAAAAGCGTGGACAGACAAAAATTGAGCGGTGACAGACAAAAGCTGAGCGTGGACAAACAAAAGTTGAGCGAGGACAGACAAAAGTTGAGCGTGGACAGACACAGACAAAAGTTGAGCATGGACAGACAAAAGTTGAGCGTGGACACAAACGTTGAGAGTGGACAGACAAATGTTGAGCGTGGACAGACAAAAGTTGAGCTAGACAGACAAAAGTTGAGCGAGGACAGACAAAAGTTGAGCGAGGACAGACAAAAGTTGAGCGTGGACAGACAAAAGTTGAGCGTGGACAGACAAAAGTTGAGCGAGGACAGACACAGACAAAAGTTGAGCGTAGACAGACAAAAGTTGAGCGTGGACAGACAAAAGTTGAGCGAGGACAGACAAAAGTTGAGCGAGGACAGACACAGACAAAAGTTGAGCGTAGACAGACAAAAGTTGAGCGAGGACAGACAAAAGTTGGGCGAGGACAGACAAAAGTTGAGCGGTGACAGACAAAAGTTGAGCGAGGACAGACAAAAGTTGAGCGAGGACAGACAAAAGTTGCGTGTGGACAGACAACAGCTGAGCGTGGACAGACAAAAGTTGAGCGTGGACAGACAAAAGTTGAGCGAGGACAGACAAAAGTTGAGCGAGGACAGACAAAAGTTGAGCGAGGACAGACAAAAGTTGAGCGAGGACAGACAAAAGTTGAGCGAGGACAGACAAAAGTTGAGCGAGGACAGACAAAAGTTGAGCGAGGACAGACAAAAGTTGAGCGAGGACAGACAAAAGTTGAGCGAGGACAGACAAAAGTTGAGCGAGGACAGACAAAAGTTGAGCGTGGACAGACAAAAGTTGAGCGAGGACAGACAAAAGTTGAGCGAGGACAGACAAATGTTGAGCGTGGACAGACAAAAGCTGAGCGAGGACAGACAAAAGTTGAGCGTGGACAGACAAATGTTGAGCGTGGACAGACAAAAGTTGAGCGAAGACAGACAAAAGTTGAGCGTGGACAGACAAAAGTTGAGCGTGGACAGACAAAAGTTGAGCGTGGACAGACAAAAGTTGAGCGTGGACAGACAAAAGTTGAGCGTGGACAGACAAAAGTTGAGCGTGGACAGACAAAAAATGAGCGTGGACAGACTAAAAGTTGAGCGTGGACAGACAAAAGTTAAACGAGGACAGACAAAAGTTGAGCGTGGGCAGACAAAAGTCTTACATTTGATGATCTCCATGTCCAGCAGGAGTTCCAGGACAATAATGACGCAATCAGCCACGACCAGGAAGATGACGAAATATTGCACGACGTTTGTCTTCAGGTAGGCGGCGAGTTTACCCTTACATCTGGGGGGTCAGACACAGGGGTTAACATGGGTCATCATAGGGGTCACTGTCTGGGTCATCATAGGGGTCACTGAATGGGTCATCATAGGGGTTAACATGGGTCATCATAGGGGTCTCTGAGTGGGTCATCATAGGGGTCACTCTATGGGTCAGACACAGGGGTAAAACATGGGTCATCATAGGGGTCACTGTCTGGGTCATCATAGGGGTCACTGAATGGGTCATCATAGGGGTTAACATGGGTCATCATAGGGGTCTCTGAGTGGGTCATCATAGGGGTCACTCTATGGGTCAGACACAGGGGTAAAACATGGGTCATCATAGGGGTCACTGAATGGGTCATCATAGGGGTCACTGTATGGGTCATCATAGGGGTTACTGTATGGGTCATCATAGGGGTCACTGAATGGGTCATCATAGGGGTCACTCTATGGGTCAGACACAGGGGTAAAACATGGGTCATCATAGGTGTCGCTATCTGGGGCATAACAGGATTTGTATGAATCATAACATGGGTCGTTTCATGGGTTATTGGGGTCGTAGAGGTATGGGTTATATGGAGAATCACGGGTCTAGAACTCATGACATCTGTAGTTCTAATATGGGAAACATTTATTATATAACTCAACAGGTATAACATTTATTACACAACTAATTCAACGGTATAACATTTATTGCAGAACTAAAAAGGTACAACATTTGATATAATCACTAACACCAACAGCAATCTAACCAGACAACACCAACACAAAACGACGACACCAACAGAAACATGATCAGACGACGTAGACACAAGACTTAGACATGAGACGTAGACACAAGACTTAGACATGAGACGTAGACACAAGACTTAGACATGAGACGTAGACACAAGACTTCGACATGAGACGTAGAATCAAGACTTAGACATGAGACATAGACACAAGACTTAGACATGAGACGTAGACACAAGACTTAGACATGAGACGTAGACACAAGACTTCGACATGAGACGTAGAATCAAGACTTAGACATGAGACATAGACGCAAGACTTAGACATGAGACGTAGACACAAGACGTAGACATGAGACGTAGACATGAGACGTAGACACAAGACTTAGACATGAGATGTACACACAATACTTAGACATGAGACGTAGACATAAGACTTAGACATGAGACGTAGACACAAGAATTAAAAAATGACGACACCAACAGAAACATGATCAGACGACATAGACACAAGACTTAGACACGAGACGTAGACACAAGACTTAGACATGAGACGTAGACACAAGACTTAGACATGAGACGTAGACACAAGACTTAGACATGAGACGTAGACGCAGTTAGACATGAGACGTAGACACAAAGTAGACATGAGACGTAGACACAAGACTTAGACATGAGATGTAGACATAATACTTAGACATAAGACGTAGACACAAGATTTAGACATGAGACGTAGACATGAGACGTAGACACAAGACTTAGACATGAGATGTACACACAATACTTAGACATGAGACGTAGACATAAGACTTAGACATGAGACGTAGACACAAGAATTAAAAAATGACGACACCAACAGAAACATGATCAGACGACATAGACACAAGACTTAGACACGAGACGTAGACACAAGACTTAGACATGAGACGTAGACACAAGACTTAGACATGAGACGTAGACACAAGACTTAGACATGAGACGTAGACGCAAAGTTAGACATGAGACGTAGACACAAAGTAGACATGAGACGTAGACACAAGACTTAGACATGAGATGTAGACATAATACTTAGACATGAGACGTAGACACAAGATTTAGACATGAGACGTAGACACAAGACTTAGACATGAGACGTAGACACAAGACTTAGACATGGGACGTAGACACAAGACTTAGACATGAGACGTACACACAAGACTTAGACATGAGACGTAGACACAAAGTTAGACATGAGACTTGGCCATAAAGCTGAATTAGACACAAAACTCTAACATTAACAGACTAGATTGCGACAAAATCAGTTACGCAATACACAAAATGCAACACAAAATTGTGCAACATTGTACAGGATAGAGCTCTTTGATGCACATCTTTTTTAGCTGATAGCGGGGGTTGTTGGGTGGGGGTTGTAAGGTGGGGATGTCAGGTGGGGCTGTGTGGTGGGGAATGTAAGGTGGGGATTGTGAGGTGGGGGTGTGATGTGGGGTTATGTGAGGTGGGATTTTAAAGTGTGGGTTGTGGACTGAGTATAAACCTTTGCTACGCCACATAAATTGACTGTCATTCCATTTCCAACCCACCTTTTCCACACCTCACTATGTCACGTGATGCACACAAAATGGCGGCCAAGCCATGGGATTTAGAGATCGGTGCAGCCATGTCATGTGTAAAAACCATCACGGCATTCTGGCAGAGTTACACAGGCCACGGCTCAAGTAGATTCTAGACTACGGGTCAGGTTATTTATAGATTCTAGACCATTGATCTATTGACCACTGGTCAAGTAGATTCTTGACCAACCGTCAAGTAGGTTATAGACAAGTGGTCCAATTATTTCTTGACCGCTGGTACATTCGATTTCAGACCATCCATTCGAGTAGATTCTATACCATGGCAGATTTTAGCAGCTTTTTAGACCACTGGCAGGTTTTTAGACCACTGGCAGGTTTTTAGACCACTGGTAATTTTTTATACATCTGGCAGGTTTTTAGACCACCGACAGGCTTTTCGACCACTGGCAGGTTTTTAGACCATTAGCAGGTTTATAGACCATCGGCAGGTTTTTAGACCACTGGCAGGTTTTTCGACCAGATATTTCAAATACACTACCGCGACCTGCGACATAAATTGATGTGAAAAGTTCCAAAAGCTAAAATGTCATAGGTCTGGTTAATGTCAGTTAAAAGTGGACAATCGATATTTCAGAATGTCAGTGTATTTCAGATTAGCCAGGTCCCAAGTGTCATGGTTGACTTGTCATGTCATATCTAGCTAGCCATATGTCATATTTCACTAGTCATATCAAATCTAGCTAGCCATCTGTCGTATTTCACTACACAATTCATGATTGGATTTGAAGAAATCGATTACGGCCATGTTAAAATATTGTCGTCCACATAGACGTCCACTAACTTATGAGGACGTCATGTTTAATCCACAATACAAGACGTCAACTAAATTATTAGGACGTCACATTTAATCCACAATACATCCGCATCTTTCGTTTAAATCTCCCACCTCTATTTAAGATTTAAGAAATCATTCATTAACCTACAAATACATAGAGAAGACTCTATGTAATTTTTGTAAGGAAGAGCTCGCTACTGCTCGAAAAGGTATGTTCGCCTTTTTTAAAAGATGCTGGGTATCTAATAACGCTGAGTAAACTCGTGGCATTTAAAAAAATATCAGCTGTCATTATAATATCTATATAACATGTTGATTACATGATATAACACAAGAACGAGTGGACATAGACAGCTACAGAATTTATTTTTTGTGAATCGAAAAATGTTGTGTTTGATAAGATGTCGCCTGTGTTCTGGCCAGGAGCTAGCTGGCATATCACGGCAGATTTAGGACCAACACGCAAACCGGCAAGTATCGATCCAAACCACACTGACCTCAATACTTCGCTAGCCCTGTGTTGGCCATTCGATCGCAAATCTAGGGGAGAGAATCAGGGAAAAGTTGGAGATAATACTGTAGTGTAAGGCGTGGAGACAGCCTTAAGATGCCAAAATTTATTGCTGTGATGTTTGGCCGATTGCCACTGATTAAATGAAAATCTTTGGTAGCGTTTGGCTAAGTGTATCTGGCAATTAGCTGATTAATTAGGATGATAGCTGGGTGGTAATTAGAAAACGGGAGGCTGGTAATCGGGTTATAGAGAACAGATTTTAAGTTTAAAATTTGTGATCGTGCACACATCACACAACACGATGTGGGTGGGGTCTGTTTTCTCCTGTTTTATTTACAGATTATGTGTTTACATAAATATTTTGAAATACCTCGTGAAATTAAAGAGTTAATTCATAAAAATGCTCCTATCTTATTTTTTTCTTGTTTATTATTTTGTGTGGTAGAGAGGGGAAGGGGCGGGGTGGTTGTATGACTCAGAGGGTATTTATAACGTGACGTACAACGAATAATGTGTTTAATAATAAGCTAATTTTGTGTTAAATAATATTTGCAATTATTCTTAATCCCTCTGCTAATCCCCCCCCCCGCGCTATACACACTTACACACACATTAATATCATCACGATGCAGTAGCACTTTACCTCTCCTCCGTTGATTACAAATAGCCCCTAAATCTAACCCTAACCACAAGTTCATAGTAGGGTTATTATTAAGGTTAAAAGTGGGGTTAGGTTAGGGTTAGGAAATATTCAGACCGGAATAAGCTTATTCTACACTTTCCTGGTTTCCTAAGCAACGCAAGAAACCCGATTGGTATCGAACTATGTCGGCCTTTCCAGATCTCTAGAATCCCAGGCCTCTCGATGTACAGGTAAATTAGTCCATAGGTATTCTCGCGGGAGGGGGGGGGGGGTAATTACACTCTGGGGAAATTGACCGGATAGTAATTGACATAGGGTTGTAATTGACATGGGGTGTAATATACTTGGGGTGTAATTGACAGAGGATTTATTTATATGTTGGTGTAATTGACGTGAGAGGGTAAATAACTTGGGGGTGGAATTGACGTGGGGTGTAATTAACTTGGGGTGTAATTCATCTGGAATAAAGGCAAAAGGTGATGTCCTTGATTCATTTCTTACGTCTCTGTTTGCTTGAAACCCGCGTCCAAGAGATAGTTGAACAAAACCTTGACGTCTTTTTAATAATTTCCAAATAATATGCAGAAGTAATTTGTGAATGTACTTATAAATATTTTGATGATAGGTGTCTCAACTTTCAATGGATAAAAAGTGTATTGTGGATACACTATTTTCTATGGATTACGGTGGATTAAAGTTTCAGTGTCATGTGGATAAATTGTTCA